CCGCGGGCAGTATCGGACTGAGACCGGCGGGGGGGGGGCCCTGTACCGCGGGCAGGATCGGGCTGAGACGGGCGGGGGGGGGGGACAGGCGACTCCAACCTGCCGACTCCAGCGGCAGGTTGATCCAAAGCAGCTGTTAGCAACATCCCCAGGGGACTGCAGTGACCCGCTGAATCATACAGCGACACACATGAATGTCTTCAGCTCTCTACAAAAATGGATGTTAGCATGTATATATTTCCATTTTATTAATTTAGGAGCCACTTGTATCCAAAGCAAAGCTCATTTTTTGGGATGGCAAGGTCAGACGGTCCCTGGAGCAGTCGGGGTTAGGGGCCCGATGGTGACATCACTCAGAGCATTACTTGACATCCTTGTAAACTGCTTGATTGTAATGGATTTTCATGGTAATCGTTCATTAGAAACCCTTTACCTGCTCTAATCTGGTTTAAACTGGCATAAGCAGAGAAAAGTGAACCTGGTGGTCTTCACTGTGTCTGTGGCACACCTTCTGGCCTGCTGGCTCTCTCCTGCCTTCTCCAGAATCACTGGCTGATTGTCGATACCTATGATCCCTTTCCATCCCAGCCAGAATCTCACTCCAAGCCATTAGGTCACTGAACAGCAGGTGACCCCCCCGTTGTTAATATTCCACTTATATTCCCTGCTGCCTTTGTGGTCTGCATCCCCCCCAAACTGTGACATGAGAATTTCACTCAAATCCTCCAAACTCATGACTGTAAGACCCGAAACTTTGCTAGGGTGTACGCTGGGCTGGTACCCGGCCTGTGATCTAGAGGTTGCTGAGCCAAATCCCTCAGAGATTCGGCTGTGGTCGTCATGGTGACCCACCCGGCTGTATGGATGAGTAAGCATCTGTGCCTCAGCTTGCAAATGAAAGTGATTAATAAGGTCAGGTACGTCACGGAGTCTATGCGGAAAAGCACAGTGATGTTTTTCTGCTTTTTGTTTGTTACGTCTGTGTGGGTGATGGCTCAGAACACCTTCAAATGAACCTGCTTCTCCTGAACGCTCTGATTACACAGCTTTAAAGTTGCTGTCTTTTTCTCATGTTGGGTTTTTAATGTTCTCTGTCCTTCTAATAACAGACTCTGGATAAACAGTGACTCGGAGGCACTTTTTATGAGAGTTAGTCGAGTTGTTGAGCTATGTTGCAGAGTTACTCAGGAGGAACAGCGCTCTTCCAAAAAACATCGCCAGTGAACAGCACTCTTCCAAAAAACATTGCCAGTGAACAGCGCTCTTCCAAAAACATCGCCAGTGAACAGCGCTCTTCCAAAGAACATCTCCAGTGAACAGCGCTCTTCCAAAAAACATTGCCAGTGAACAGCGCTCTTCCAAAGAACATCTCCAGTGAACAGCGCTCTTCCAAACACATTGCCAGTAGTTAGATTT